TAGCTTGTCTTTAAATAATTAGCTATGTGAAAGGAAAATCATTCTCTCTACTCCTTAATCTTTTTTGACTTTTTTTTTTCGTAAGAGTTTTACGCCACTTGCAACACAATAAGGTCATATAAGTGACGAAGATTAGAGGTGTTACAAGGGAGTAACAAACACAAAAAAGAAGGAGGGGAGATAAAGACAATAGATGTTTGATAGGAAAGAGGAAGCAAACCACACCAGAGCACCTGCCTACCACCGACTCCTTATTGACTTGAATTGTGTCAATAGAGGCTTGAAACCGTGAAGTAAACCAACCAGACTGCTCCCTTCTGTCGTCAGCATGTGAGCTTGAGCCTCGTGTTGTTTTCTTCTGCAGAGAGTTCCTGAACCGTCTGGTGCCCAGTGACTTAATGAAGTCTCAGTCAGCCGAGGACTGGAAGAGGGTAAGTCACTCCGATTTTTATTGCTTTTTTTTTAATTTACGGGGAAAAACATTTTGTATCTGTTTATTTATTTATTTATTTATTTATTTATTTGATTTAATTTAATTTAATTTTTTTTGTTTCATTTTGTTTTGCCTGTCGAAGAACTCCTGTCGGATTTGCATAAAATGGTGTTTTTTTTCTTGAATTCAGTTTCTTTCACTTGTTTACGTTTCATAAATGACGTAGAAATGCACTGGTTCATTTGTGCAGTTGTCGACCGGTACCTTAAAAACATATTTGATATGTATTTTTTGGAGGTTCTGAGTATGGAAGCACGTTTTTGTACAGAAAAATACATATATTCTGTTTTCTAGTATTGCTTCTCACGAACTTGTTGATGCTGAGGACAAATTATGAATTTCATTTCGGGATTTGTGAATATTAATGAGAATGAAGTCCATAGGTGTCTCTCTCTCTCTCTGTCCCCCCTGTCGCTCTGTCTGTCTGTCTGTCTGTCTGTCTGTCTGTCTGTCTGTCTGTCTCTCTCTCTCTCTCTCTCTCTCTCTCTCTCTCTCTCTCTCTCTCCCTCCCTCCCTCCCTCTCTCTCTCTCCCTCCCTCTCTCTCTCTCTCTCTCTCTCTCTCTCTCTCTCTCTCTCTCTCCCTCCCTCTCTCTCTCTCTTTCTCGCTCTCTCGCTCTCTCGCTCTCTCGCTCTCTCTCTCGCTCTCTCTCTCTCTCTCTCTCTCTCTCTCTCTCTCTCTCTCTCTCTCTCTCTCTCTCTCTCTCTCTCTCTCTCTCTCTCATTTGAACTGTGCCTGGAAGTCCTTCTTTTTTCCCCATTGTTGTTTCTGTCCATCTGTCTGTCTTTCTTGCTTCTTCCTTGCACTTAATTACCATTATCATATTGATGCGCTTCTCTTTACTCAAACAAACAAACAAACAAATTGTCTACAAGCTGTTGAATTGTCCTGAGCCCCAAAAGCAAAGTCTTTTGGGAGACAGAAAAAAGCTGTTTTGTTCTCTTAACAATGGAACTTACTTTATGCATCTTTTCTGGCTTATAAAAAAAAAGTAGAATTTGAATTTTGACAAAATATTTCTTGAGCTCGTACAACTAATATCGCAAATTGAGAATTTGCGGTATTAAGAAAAAATCACATTTTTTGGTTTGGTTCATTTTAAGAGACGGCCGATGAAATGTTCTTTTCTGAGTTGTAGAAAAACTAAACAAAAACCATTAAAAAAAACCTAGCCAATAATGAATTTGTTCCTTGTCAACCTCCCATCAGGCCATTGTGGCAGCCTACAACAGAGACGCGGGCAAAAGTCCCGGAGATGCCAAGGTCGCCTTCCTCATGATCATTCACCAGTGGCCGACGTTTGGCTCGGCTTTCTTTGATGTCAAGGTGAGTGCTGGGAGGGAGAGGGAGGGAGGAAGAGAGGGAAGGATGGAAGAGGAGGAGGGAGAGGAGGGGGTGGGAAGAGGAGTAAGAGGGAGAGTGTGGGGAGAGGAGGGAAGATGGGGCTGATGTGAAGTCTTTTTTTATTTTCTTTCTTTTTTTTTTCCTTCCCAATTTTTTGGTCTTGTGTCCTAATTTTATGTGTGCCAGAATGATAGTTAGGTATATGACTTGTGGTTGTGAGACATTGCTGTGGTGAAAAATCACTTGACTTGTGTGTTTTCACACTAATCTTTCACCCCCAGTGGGTCGGGGGGATATAAATAGACCCACTGCTTTGTCTGCAGAAGGTGCAACCCCCTCAAAGGCGGAGTGTCGCACACAGACCCCAACCCTCTGGGATCCGTGTGCGACACTTTCTTTGGTGTATCTTCCTCTTCTCCTTCCTTTTTTCTTTTTTCTTTTTTCTTCTATCTTCTATCTTTTCTCCCACCGCTGACCTCAAGTGCAGCAAAAAGAGAGGTCACCCATCCCACAGAGTGGGCGCCTCGTTGACCGTGAGGTGCGACCCGTGCGGAGGGAAACCGGGTACCTGGCGGTTGAGGTGAGATCAGTCCACGGACTGTCCCTTGCCAACACACCTCTTTGGCCCAGGTTTTCCTCTTAGACGGGAGGGTGGCACGGCCCATGCCACTCAATCAGTTGAGAGCTGAAACCCCATCAAGCCCTGGGTCAATCTTGACGAGAGGGTCTTGTACTTTCTCGTTGAGAGTATAGCTCCGGGGTA